TTTGAAAGGTTATCTTTTGAAACTTGCTTCTAGCTCCATTTCTCTCTCAACACTGTCTTGTTCTATGGTACTTGTAAGCCAGCATTTCTTATCTCGAGGTTTGCACAGGGATGCACACACTGTGTGAGCCTTCTGTCAGGCTTGGGGAATTCCCTACAAATCCACTTCCCACACCTGCGATCAGGAGAAAGGGACACATCGAGGCTCAGAGCCCTTCTTCTGTGACTCCCACCTGTCTCTGAGGAGCTGCCACGTGTCCCCTGGACATTCTGGCCCTGCAGCTGAAACTAAATATTTCTGCAGCTCATTCAGTCTGTGGCAACCCTTGGAATTGTATTTCATTAAAGAGTGGACACAAAGGTTTAATTTGCAGCAGCAGACTGCACAGTAATCCTCTAACAATTCCTGGGTTCTGTTGGGAAGGAAAACTCTCATTAATAAAGACTTTGGTTACAACTCCTTGTTACGTGAGAGTTGCTGCAGAGCTCAGGGCTGCAAGAAATCACATCCAGAAAAACATTCCCTTCATCTTTCTGCTCAGGTATCAGATTGGAAAAACCCCTGACAAGCCCCCCACAGCTTTACAGGGTGTTCTGGGCATGCCAGGAGGGATTTGTGAGGGGTGGTTACCACGTTTCAGCTTCACCCATAATGGATATTCCCAAGAAACTGGATTGCAGTTCACCATCTGATGTTATCATGAGCTAACCAGAGCTGATCATGCCTTTTGCTTTGTATTTATTTTTTGGATGGGAAAAGTGAACTCATGTGCTCCCAACCCTTTGTCTGTGTGGCCAGTTTTCACTGCAGTGAAAGAGGCCAAAGCCCAGAATTTCTGCCTTTTCTATAGGGAAAAAACCCAAACAGAGCAACACAACATAGTAAAAAAACAGCCTGGAAATGGAGAATTAGTAAAGTGAGTTTGTTCAAAGCTGTCTGTAAAGTCTAATTCAACTTTTCCAGGAGGAATAGACCAAAGAAAGATAATTTAGCTCTTCCTCCAGGGAATATGCCCTTTGCCAGGCAGGACTCAGTTCTTCAGGGCTCTTTCCAACCATGAGCATTTTGTCACCTGGGAGGGGAATTAAGGCAGCTGAACTTGTTCCCTGATAACCCCCCCAACAAAAAACCTACATTTTGTTTCCTAATGATGCCCAAAATTGTGATCTTTTTGGGTTATTTTTATTCCATCTGCCTTTGTCAGCCTGTATCAGTGACTGCTGTGACATGTGGGGGTTATTTCTGTTATCACTGAGCAGGTTGAAGGAGGAATGACAAATGATAGTTATTTATTTACTGATTTAGTTAATATGCAAAATGAGCCATAAACTCGAAGCTGTCCAGTGTGAATCTGTTTGTTGCCTTTGATTGAGTTAAAAGTCTGTGGACATTAAATTCACACATCACTGACCTTTTCCAGCTGAGTGCTGGGTATTTAAGTTTGAAGCCATCCAACCACAGGCAGTGGAGTGGGATGAAAGCCTTCAGAGCTGGTGTTTGCTTTTCTCTGTGGACTTGGAGGAATGGTTAAAAATCCAGGTCAGACTAAACACAGAGCTCTGACTCAGCTAAAATTGAGGATGATGTGTCCCACTGACAGAGAAGCTCAGACACATCCCACTCTTTCTTTATGGGATCATAAAGTCATTAAGGCTGGGAAAGATCTCCAGGGTCATCCAGAGGAGTCATTGGCCCAGCAGTACCAAGGCCACCACTGACTCATGTCCCCAGGTGCCACATTTACATGGCTTTTAAGTATCTCCAGAGGATGGTGACTCAACCACTGCCCTGGGCAGCCTGTGCCAGGATTAACCCTTTCAGTGAAGAAACTTTCCCTAATATCCAAATTAAACATTCCCTGGTGCTAATTGAAGCCCTTCTCTCTTGTTCTGTCACTTCTTACTTGGGAGAAGAGCCACACCTGGCTGTCCCCTCCTGTCAGGAGCTGTGCAGAGCCACAAGGTCCCCCCTGAATCTCTTTTCTCCAGGCTGAGCTCCCACAGCTCCGTCAGCCCCTCCTGGGGTTCTGTTCCCTTCCCTGGACACGCTCCAGCCCCTCAGTGTCATTCTTGTCATGAGGAGCCCAAAACTGACCCCAGGGTTGGAGGGGTGGTCCCACCACTGCCCAGCACAGGGGACAATTCCCACCCTGGTCCTGCTGGACACCCAATTCCTGATCCAGTCCAAGTGCCACTGCCCTTCCTGCCCACCTGGGCTCATGTTCAGCTGCTGTCACCAGCACTCCCAGGACCTTTTCCAGCCCCTCTGCCTCAAACTGCAGTTTGGCTTGGAGTTGTTGTGAGCACCCAACTTCTCTAAAAGCTCACAAGAAGTCAGCACCAGCACCACAAATCCAGGATCTTCTGTATTTTGGTATTTAGCTGCTGGAGACTTTTTTTCAGAGTTTTGCCCAACATAGATATATTTTCTTTTGGATTGTATGGCAAAAAACAAGATATTTTAAAAATTCTATGTATATTTAAGTCTACCTGAGCGTGTCACAAGCTCACTTTTCAAAACAAAGCCTCATTTGTTTTTTAAAGGTGATAAAACCAGTTAATCAGAAATAAATATTGGACCATTGAGGTGAATATACAGTTATCCAGCTCAGGCATGGGATTTTGGTGAAGGGAAGAAGTGGCAGTGAATTGCTAATGTGCTTGGTGTAAAATCTACTGCCTAAAAAAATTCAGATATATTGTAGAACTACAGAGTGCTTTGCCAGCCCTGATCAAAGTTAGAGTTGTATGAATTAATTTATAAAGTGAAAACCAGAGGTATTTAAAGATGTAAGATGAATTTGGCAAATGTTTAAGTCCAGAGAGTTAAAACTTCCCCTTGAAAAAGTCAGAATGTTTTGAAAACATTTCAATCTTTATTTTTCCAGCAAATGTTCTGCAGATCTCTCACGGTTCCCCCCGTGCCTTTTTAAGGTTAAAATAAAATGGCAAGAAGAACTGTAAATAAAAACAAAATAACTCTATGGTATTTCAGATGAGCCAAGATGAAATTTCCAAAGATCTGTTTCCCTTTGGGGAAAATAAATATTTGAGAATGAAGACAACTCCAAATGACTCCCCTTCTTCTAGTGTTTGTATTTTTGTTTCTTTTTAATTTGACTAGAAAACCACAATTATTTGTTTATACACTACTAATCAAGGCCCATTCCCTACCTAAAGGAAATTAAAATCTAAACCAGGCATGGCATGAAACAGGGAAGAGAGCAGGATAGGTTAATAGGAAATGGTAAGATTAATGTGTTAAATTATTTTATAGTCTTAACCCAAGTTCACATCAAACAATTGTTCCTTCAAAGGTTTGCTGGAATTTTTTTTTTGTCTTAAAACCTTGAATGGCAAATATATCAACAGAACAATAACTCAATGCATTTTGAAATGAGACAGGAAATTATTTTTTTTTCTTAATTCATTTTTCTCTGCCTATTTCTGATGAAAATATATGATTATCCCAAAACCCTCAAGAGGGGACACTGAATCAATCACTACTCCTGTCTCCTCATGATCTGTTCCTGAAGTTCACCCCACGGATGTTTTTTCCCACATTACATTTAACAGGGACAGTATAAACTCAAGCCAAGGTTTGGCTCTCTTGACATCATTCCCTTCTCTCCACCTCTTTGCAGTTGGGTTTCTGAAAAGTTTTTCCCCTTTCCAATCCCTTTAAAAGAGCAGGGAGCAGCCTCAGCTTCTGCCCATTGCAATGGTCAAGTTGTCCCCTCCAAGCTCAGAGTGTGTTGGTGACGAGGGGACACTGAGATATGTGTGAGTTCCTTTTTTTGGAGTGAAAATCACCATTTCCATGTTTTATGACTGAGGCAGTTCATGAATTGCACATTGTGAGCAGTCTACAATTAATTACCTGAACATTTGTGGCCGTTGTTGTATTACAAACACAACTTGATTAGGGCTGACTGAGGAGAAACCACTTGAGAGGGAAAAAGCCTTGTCACTGGGAATTTCCTGCTTTTTAGCTCCTTGATCTCCTAATCTGCATCAGAGATTCTGTTCTTATTTGATTTGGGGTTTGTTGTGCTTTGAATTAGCGTGAGAGCCAGGGAATAAACCACGAAGCACAGATCCCACTGCTCCTGGCATAAATATTGAAGATGCCCTGCCCTACATAGCTGCTGGTGTTGGTTAGCCAGGAAGGGTTTCCAGAGTATGAAACAGCAGAATTGCTCCTGATCTGTTGAAATCCAAAATGCAGGGAACTCTCAGAACTTTGGGCCTGTAAGCCAATGCTTAGAATTAAACCCAGGGTTTGATGAGACCTTGGAAAAGGCTTCCAAACTTAGGTGCTACAAGTGAGAATGTGGATTTGTGGTTTAAAGCAGAGACACGTTGAGCTAAGTAAAGTTTAGATTTTTAGAGTTTAAGATATAGAAAAAAGAAAAGTAGTTACAGAGGTAAACAAGGAGTTTAGAATGCAACACTGTGAGTTTGTGTTCATAACATGATTGGCTAAAAAAGCTCACACTGTAGCATGAGTCCATAAGACTAAATATTTAAGGATTGGGTCAAAAACATAAATATCCTTTTTGGCAGTGTTTTATTGGTCAATAACTCCTTAAAAGGTCTTATAACTAAGAAGGTCTTGTGACCTTCTGAGCCATGCTGTAATGATGTGAGCTGAGCTCACTCTTCCTGTCTGTGTAGAGGATAAAAAAATTGAATTGTTTTTGATGATGTGGTTTAGAGGTCCTGTCTCAAATTCCTTCCAAAATTCCCCATAAGGGAATTATCATGCTGATCATCAAGAAAAAAAATAGGTTGTGGGGGTTTTTCCTAAAGAAATGGAGGGGAACCCAGCAGGCTCTGGGTTGATCTCCCTCCTCTTGAGCGAGCACAAGATAAGGCTGAGTACACATCCGTGCAATGGTCCTGGAGAGCTCCAGCTTGCTCCACGAGGCCATGAATGCCCAGGAATGCCTCCCTGAGCATGGGCTTTGCTCACTGTGTCCTCCTGTGCCCTCCCTGCAGGCGTCCAGCACGCGGCCCGAGTGCAGCATCATGCAGGAGATCGAGGAGGAGCGCAGCCAGTGCCTGGCAGAGCTGACCTGGGACAACCAGACCTCAGGTATGGCAACACTTCTGTCCTTCCCTGGCCAGAAAACCTGTCAGAATCTGTGATATTGATGATCCAGAGATTGTAGAAAGTCTCTGTCTGTCAGCCCCGCTGCCAAAGCAGAAGCCATAATTGGTCTGTGCTGTTTCCAGGTTGTTTATTCTGTTGATCTCTCACATGTTCTGCTGCCCTGCCCAGCTCTGTCCTGCAGGGCAGCGTGTGGGGCTCTGCCCTCAGTGGGATGTGACAAACATTCAATACCAGAAACTCCCTGGGCTGGATTTACAAGAACGTGCCAATATCTGTCACCTACGTTGGACAGTGTGTCCCCAGCCTGAACCAACAGAAAAATGCCAACACCACAGTGAGACATGGAGGGCATGAAGAAGGAGAAAAAGGACAAGGCACACCCAATTTCCTCCAGCTTGTCCCCTTTGGACCCCTCATCTAGAATCCTAAAATTTTACTTTTGCACCCGTGCCATACTTAATTATTACTTATATCAAACACTCAGAGCTTGTAATTCATCCTGTAAGATTGAAAACTCTTTTCCATGGACAGAGATCACAGCCAGTGTCTCTGGGGGCTCTGTCCAGGGGGGTCCCAAACCTGCCAGGGCAGCCAGAGTGAAGCTCTGGATTCCCACACAAACCCACCTCCCCCAACCTCACACCTGCCTTGTCCTGGCCATTTCCCAGCCCTTCTGCTGCTGGAGCAAGGATTCCTCCAGCTGCTCTTCAGGAGGGAGAGAAATGGGTGCTTCCAAAGTCAGCCAAGAGTTCCAGCAGCTCTGCAGCTTCCCTTGCAGCCTCCTGGCTGGAAATGCCTGACTGAGGTGTTTCAGTGAGTTTAATCAGTTGTCCACCTTCCTGAACTGGATTTTTTACGATTTTTCCTTGGGAATTGAAATCCATAAGTTCTCCAAAGTCTTGGATCACTCTAAGGGAAGTCATTGTGACCATCTCCTTTGGTTTAACTGGCCTCCCTTCCCTGTGCCAAAACTGCTCCTGTCCTGGAGGTGAGCAGGGGGTGCTCCAAGGCTGTGAAGTATTTCTGGAGTTGGGACAGGCAGCTGAGATCCTCTCTGTGGCAAGCACATTTCTCTCCCTCTCAGGATTTTCCATAGAAGTACACACAGAGAGAAATGAAAAAGAAAACAATTTCTATTTCTGCTCTTTCTTTTTCCTATGTGGAATGTGTTTGGAGAATTGTTTACCTGGGGTGATGGCTTGGTTGGATTCTGATGAGGATTGTTTGAGCCTGGTGGCCAATCCAACCCACCTGGGGCTGGACTCTCAGAGAGGATCACGAGTTGTGTTAGAGTTAGAGTCAGAGAAAGTAGTATATAGTTTTAGTATCCTCCTTTTATATAGTATATTAATATATTTTAGCATAGTTATAATAAAGAAATAATTCAGCCTTCTGAATTGAGTCAGACATCCTCATTTCTTCCCATTGGGTTCACCTGCATTTACAATACCTCTCCTTGTTCATGGAGCACTCACCACACTGAGAAATCCCCCTGGAAGGGTCTCCAGTCTCCTTAACCCTCTTCCTGCTTCAATAACCAGGAAATGCGGGAGGTTTTGGTGCTGCCCGATCCCATCCAACCCTGTCCTGCAGCAGAGCTGTCAGAATCCCAAATTAAGGCATCCAGTTGGATCTCTCCCCCTCCAAATGCCTCTTTCAAGTTACCAACCCAGTGTCTGTCAGCAAAAGGTGTTTAGAGACCTAGATGAGACTGCCAGGATCCAAAATGAAGGGGAAAAGGGCTGGGAAGATGAATCTGAACTCCTGCTTGAGATGTGCATCCTTCCTCCCAAAAGAGGGAAAAGTGGAAGAGGAAACTCTACATTGGCAATGTTTGCAGCCAGGCCACAGAGTGAAGGGCTGAGCTGATGGAGCAGAATCCTGGGACAAGCTGATCCCAGGAGGAGCTTCTCTGGATGCCAGGAAGGCTTTTAGCCCCTGCTCTTATCTACTGAGGGATGGTTGTCTTTGATTTGGAAGCTGTTTCAAGTGCCCCTGTACAGTTAAATGGAGCCTTTTTAAGATGTGCTCTTCTCGAATCCAGTGAAGGGAGAACTCAGGGTGGATAAAAAGCTTAATCTGAAAGCCAGCTAAATGCTTCATTTCGTTTTCATGGATATTTAAAGAATTTAAATTAAATATAATACATTAAAAGGAGAAAAATTTGTTGAAGAGATTATGCTTTTTTTTTGCTTTTCTAAAATGATTTTTCTCATTGGAAAGTATAGTCCAAAACAGCTTCTTTTTTTTTTTTTTTTTCCCCGTAACAAGAGAATTAAACCATTGGAAGTATTTTTCCCAATTCTGAAGTAAAGACACACAGCCATGTTGCAAGTCATTAATACCCAAAGCAAGTATATGGCAATCCTTTGGAGGGTTTTTTTCCTTGATGGAATACTGGAATAGTGGACTGGGATAAAGCTGCAATTTCCACCAGTCACTTCTGATGAATTGGACTGATTCAGAAATTGCAGATTTAAGCACAGGAAAATGGCTTTGTCCATGGAGACAGTTCTGCAACTGGAATGACAAGGGGGAATGGCTTCAAACTGAAAGAGAGCAGGTTTAGATTGAGTGTTAGGAAGACATTCCTTCCTGAGAGGGTGGTGAGGCCCTGGCACAGGGTTCCCAGAGCAGCTGAGGCTGTCCTTGGATCCCTGGAAGTGCCCAAGGCCAGGCTGGACAAGGTTTGGAGCAACCTGGGATAGTGGAACATGTTCCTGCCCATGGAAGATGATTTTAAAGTCCCTTCCTTTGTGGAAATCATTTGGCATCCAGTTACCCCGAAACCTCAGCAGGTATTTAGGAGCTCAGTACCTGACTTTATCATCCAGACACTCACAACTGCCCTGGAGGCAACAGAAAAAAACAGATTTGTTGTCTCTTGAATGGGTGACTGTGGATGAATGCATGGAGAGCTCTGTTTTACGTGCTGTGTGCACAGGTAATTTCCAAATGCCTCCACAGGATGTGTTTCCCCTTCAGAGTGTTCACAAGTAGGCCAAGGAATGTGTTATTCTGGAGTGGGACTCCATAACTCAATAAGTGTGGCTGAGCTGTAAAATCAAACTTTGAACTTTGATAGGTGGGGCAAGGGGGGATTTTGTTGGGGAGAAATCTCATGAAGGTGATGATATGAGATCGTATGAAGGTGATGACTGTTTCATCTGAGTGCTGTTGGGAAGAGAAATCCTACTAAAACTCTGAGGAAAAACATGATTTTAACCCAGTTCCATCCCCCAGAACAGGAGGATGGAAAACAATGGAGGCTCCCTGTGATCTGCAGTGTTAAACTTTGATTTATGGCCAGGTGGTTGTGTTGCCTTCTGTAATTCCCACCCTTTTCAGGAAAGGGAGAATCACTTGAGGTTTAACGAGCAATTCGTTATCCTTTCTAATCAAATGAGTGGAAATAAACACAGTGTCTGGGTACATTCTGGAAAGAAAGCTTTGTTTAGGAACCATTATCAATTGTATTGATCAGAGGGGTTTAATCACAGCTGTAATTTGATGTGTCAGGCAGATTAGTCATTTCTTGAGAGCACTTGATGGTGCTGAGGTTGATCACTGGCTTGGGTTAAGCAGGTAGATTTCCACTGATAAACAATAACATTCTTCTTAACCCTCTTTTTTTTTTTTTTGTCTTCAAACACCCACACCTTCCTCACAGGAGCTGAACATGCAAGAAATCCAGGTTTCTTTTCAGATTAAATTTCTTCCTTCACTGGAAATGCCCAAATCCAGGTTGGACAGGGCTTGGAGCAACCTGGGATATTGGAAGGTATCCCTGACCTTGGCAGGGGTTTGGAAGGAGATGATTCATGTAAATCTATTCCCTTTTAGGGTGTGGCTCAGTATCTGTGGATTTACCCATCTCTGAGGAAGTTTGACAATTGCACTTGATAATTTTAAAGGTCTCTTCCATCCCTGTTGATTCTGTGATTCCACAGTCCAGGGGTCACTAAATATTGCCTTGTCAGAATCTGAGGTATTGATGATTCTGAGATTGTAGAAAGTCTCTGTCTGTCAGCCCCCTGCCAAAGCAGAAGCCATAATTGGTCTGTGCTGGTTTCCAGGTTGTTTATTCTGTTTATCTCTCACATGTTCTGCTGCCCTGCCCAGCTCTGTCCTGCAGGGCAGCGTGTGGGGCTCTGCCCTCAGTG